CACTGCTGGCCTCAAGTGATCCTCCCACTTCAGCCTCCCAAAGTGCTGGAAAATTACAGGTGTGAACCACTGTGCATGCCTACATGTAAAATCTCAATCCTCACCACAGCCCGATGAGTGGGCTATATGTGGTGTTTTATTCCCCATTTTCTAGGTAAGGAACTGAGACTCAAAAAGATGAAATAACTCATCCAAGATCAAATAACCAGTAAAGGGCAGAGCTGGGATTTGAACTTGGATCTGGATGACTTCTGAGGCTGCTCCTACAATGTCAAAATGGCCTTTCTCAGCCTGGGGAATAGGCCCTAACCACTGTCCACCAGAGTAGGGGTGAACCAGGGGCTACCCAGCCCCATCTATCTCCCTTCTCTGTCCCCAAGGGTTCCTCTCCCCACCTGGATCTTTCCAGAGGTCTCTCCACAGACACTCATACTCTCCGCCAACACCCTTGCCTCCTGCTATCCCAGTCCTGGGGGACACAGATGTAGTAAGCCACCAGCTCTGATGACCTAGAATGGTGATCTCTAAGCCTCACCCTAGCTACCAGGGTCAGGCTTTTTAGGGAAGGCCTTTTGTTTCAAACTCAGCAATTCTGGAGTAACTTCCCAAGCAGCAGGTGACCTGGGGAAAAGCTGACCCCAGAGCAGGCTTGGAGATTGTGACACACAGACACTAGCTGTGAACACCCCTGTGCTAGTGGCCGGGACACGGGATGAACCTGGCCTGGTGCTGCTTCGAGGTGCTCCTGGCCTGTGGGGGACCAGAAAGGTAAGTTAATGCATTGTGGTAACAATGGAATCATTTTTATTTTTTTGTTTTTCTCTGAGATGGAGTCTCACTGTCGCCCAGGCTGGAGTGCAGTGGCACAATTTCGGCTCACTGCAGCCTTCACATCCCAGGTTCAAGCGATTCTCGTGCCTCAGCTTTCCAAATGGCTGAGATTGCAGGCTTGTGCCACCATGCCTGGCTAATTTTGGTGTTTTTTAGTAGAGACGGGTTTTCACCACGTTGGCCAAGCTGGTCTCGAACTCCTGACCTCCGGCGATCTGCCCACCTTGGCCTCCCAAAGTGCTGGGATTATAGTCATGAGCAACCACATCCAACCAACGATGGGAATAATTAACAGGGACAACAAACCCTTTCACTGAGGGAGTGTTTAGTCAGCATGCAGCATGGGGTTTAGGGCTTTTCACAGTGTCCTGTTTTAGCCAGGCACGGTGGCTCACGCCTGTAATCCCAGCACTTTGGGAGGCCAAGGCAGGTGATTGCATGAGCCCAGAAGTTCAGGACCAGCCTGGGCAACACAGTGAGATCTCGTCTCTACAAAAAATGAACAAAACTAGGTGTTCATTTTGTAGGTACAGCATGACTGTAATCCCAGCTACTTGGGAGGCTGAGGTGGAAGGATCGCTTGAGCCCGGAAGGTCAAGGAGGCAGTGAGTCAAGATCATGCCACTGCACTCCAGCTTGGGTGACAGAGGGAGACCTTTTCTCAAAAAAGATCAGAAAAAACATCTGGAAGGACCTCAGGAAGTTGGTACTAGTATCACCCCCATTTCTCCAAGAGGGAAACTAAAGCTCAGAGAGAGGCTCTCAGTGTTTATAGAAGGTCATATAGAAACCTGATGTACTGCGATTCCAAACACATCATGCTATGGATCGCAATGTCACCTGCCCCAGAGGTGGGAGTGAGAGGCATGCTCTGAAGGTGGGGAGCCCCATGGCCCTGTGGAGGGGTGGGGAGAAGGGTGGAAGAACATCTAATGGCGGTGACCTCAGAGCTGAGCCTGACAACGTAAGAGTTTGTCAGGTGGAAAAGAGGTAGGGTGTCATCAGGGCAGGGGGCTCAGAAGAGCAGAGGCAGGTGGATGTGAGCAAGAGGCCGACAGGTTCAGGGAACAGGGAGCACTTCTGGGCGGGAGGTGGAGGTGGGGGTGAAAGACGACTTCAGAAAGGTGTGCCAGGGCTGGATGCTGAAGGGACTTGAATGCTTGGCGTTGGGCCTGGGTCCTGCCCGTGATGAGCAAGAGGTTCTACCCTGAGGGCGAGAGATGGGAGGATTAGATGTGTGCTAATGGTGGAAGTGCTGCAGATAGGCGTGGCCTGGGAGAACACACTGCAGCCTCAAGGACCCCAGGCCCAGTCCCCACGCCCACCTCCTCCCAGTCCCCCATCCCCCCAACAGAAGAAAAGGCAGGATGAACAGAGCTTCCCCAGGAGGCTGGGAAACTGGAAATAGGGGGAGATACTAATACATCCATCAGTATATCACGGACTGCTCAGTCTTGATTTTTTTGCCACATTCTTTTAAAAGTGATGCTATGTACCCCCTTCGGCAGCACACATACTAAAATTGAAACAATACAGAAATTATTAGAATGGCCCCTGTGCAAGGATGACATGCAAATTTGTGAAGCGTTCTATATTTTTGAGAGTGGGGGCCAATATTCAACACCCTTAAAGAAAAAAACGGGGAAAAAAAAAAAAAAAAAAAAAAATTAAATATAAAAAAAAAAAAAAAAAAGGCTGGATGTGGTGGCTCACACCTGTAATTCAAGCATTTTTATTACAGAAAATGGGTCCCGATCCAGACCCCAAGAGAGGGTTCTCGGATCTCACGCAAGAACAAATTCAGGGTGATTCCATAAAGTGAAAGCAAGTTTACTAAGAATGTAAAGGGATAAAGAATAACTACTCCAGCCGGGCGTGGTGGCTCAAGCCTGTAATCCCAGCACTTTGGGAGGCTGAGGCGGGTGGATCACGAGGTCAAGAGATCGAGACCATCCTGGTCAACATGGTGAAGCCCCATCTCTACTAAAAATACAAAACAGCTGGGCATGGTGGCACGTGCCTGTAATCCCAGCTACTCAGGAGG